TTTCGAGCGGTCGAATTTTTCTTAGAAATTGGCAAATGAAAAAAAAAAATAGGAGTGCTAAACAGTGTGCTTCGATATTAAAAAAAATGGAATGTCCGTCAAATTGACGTAAACGTCCCCATTTTTCACGGAAAAAGCAAAGGTCGTGGCCGAGTTGCAGGCTAAAAAACTCAAAAGTCAAAACAAAGTCATCAATCAGTAAGTATTATGACAAGGAAAGCAAAACATCAGACGCGGAGAAGCGGCCAGCGCGTCAAAAGAGTTGTTACCGTATTGTATCAAGTTACCTCTTACTGTGATTTATTTTTCATTGAAATTATTTGGTTGTTTTCAATTAATGTTAGCGTACCTCTGCAATTTATTTTAGCATTGTCAGTTGTTTGCTTCATTGAATTAAACGGAGTTCGTCCGGTTGCAAACAAAGCTGTCTCGCCACCTAGCAAAACTTGCGAATGATCGACGTACAGGTACCCATTAAACAAAAGATACACAAAAGTTTGTATCTCCCCGACCCAGTGCAATATATCCGGTTAGAATCAAAGCTCACGTGTCCTTTAATTGAGGGACCAGACTCTGCCGTAAATTCGGGATGGGATTTAGAAAAAAAATAAAATGGGACTTTTAAGGTGCATTTTGGCGTCATTTTCGGACATTTCAATCATTCCTGATGCCTAAAATAGAGTCTAAGTTTTACCGTAGTCATTGACGCCTATTCAAGAGTATGATGTTTATTGTGACTAGCGTGAATGGGTAAGCTTCGTTTCGACAATGAGCAGTTATCACTGTAAACAATGTTAAATTATTCTTCACATGCTCAGTTTATTTTTTGAGAACAATTATTTAAAAATAAAATCTCTCCGTCAATCAGAAACTCGGATTCATGCCTTCGGGGAAAGTTATGTTTGGACGCTCACATCGATTTCGGTTTTCGTTCGATGGACTGATGCCTTCAGTGTAGCGTTTGCCTCTTCCGACATAGAAATCATCTGAATCTTCTTTCTACCTCTCTTTCTTTTCACACCACGCGTAATGTAATGATAACAATTAGGAAAAAACGCTAAGGAAATATAATGTTTGGTTTGCTAGCGAGCGAGAACTGATTTGAGAATAATTGCATATGCGCGTTGTTACGAACGGGAATACGAGATAGTCTCCCGCGAACCTGGCCGCCAATATCTCGCACTCCAGAACGCAACACTAAAGGTCAAACAAAGGCACACAGTCAGGATATGTCCAATAATACTAATTTAATAATACAATAAGCATAAACCAATAGCAGGAGTGATATAAATCACAAACCGGTCAACAATATACATCACAATAAATATA